CTGTTCAGCAGCGAAACCTTTCCTCTGCCAGTGTGGGGTGGTCGCTGAACACTTCTGATGGCAAAACTGTTTTCATGAACAATATTATACAGTAGATACAGTAAGGCAGTGAAGATATAAGATTACGTACCTGTTCCCATTGCTGCAAATCCATGTGACAAAGGATCTTCTTGGGCTTGGCTGTGCTGTGATGGTTGATCACAAGGTCTACTGTTGTAGCTCAACTCTCATCTGACATGTATGCACAACTTTCCCTTCCCCCAGCTCTGCCTCCTGGCGTACAGACTCCATAGATCATCTGTTTTGGAGAAGGTTAGTTTCTTCCAGCTCCGCCTCCTAGCACAGACCCCCTTCCACAGCCCCGCCCCTTCCTCCAGCTCCACCTCCTGACACACAGACCCCCTTCCACAGCCCCGCCCCTTACCTCAGCTCCGCCTCCTGACACACAGACCCCTCTTCCACAGCCCCGCCCCTTACCTCAGCTCCACCTCCTGACACACCTTCTGGTGCACAGACTCCATAGATCATCTGTTTTGGAGAAGGTTTGTTTCTTCTATGATAGTGTTTAGCAGGATGGGGGATTTTGCTAATCTGCATAATGTGTCTAGAGCAGAGATTTGTATTCATCATCTTGCACATTTGACATGATGTTTCTCTGAAAGCAGACGTAAATGATTATCTGCTCTGACAGGGACTTGAGAATTCTGTTGACTGATTTGAATATGTGAACAATATTTTGAGTATTGTGTTCAGGCAATTGAGAAGAACCTGTCTGTGGCACGGTCCACACAGGTAGTTGGAGAAATGACGGAAGCAGAGCATAACATGAAACATTTCCAGAAGCATTTGCAGTAACTAGGAAACTGAACAATGAGTATTGCAGGAAGAAGTAGCTATAACACCCTATTCCATTCATAGCTCTCCTAACTTCTCCTCTGGGACACAATCCAGATACAGTGATAGGAAGTCGCTAGGGCTCATCAGCACTGTTGGACCAGGCAGCCTGTCTAGTTCACTGTAGTGATGTGTATCACTACTGACACGGTAGTGATGCTGATTGAGTGTGGCTCAGTGGTGCTTCCCAATTAAAGACGAACTCCCTAATTAAAGAGGTGGGGAAACAACAGTGTTTTGTTGGGAGGCGGTTTTGAGTATTGACCTTTTCCTCTAATGCTGCAGACTCTGCTTTGCTCTTGCGGTTGTGCTATCATTTTAAAGACTGCAGGAGGACACTGGCCTTGTTTTTATCATTCAAACTTGTTCTCCCTCCGTACCCCTGGCCCAACTATAGATAGAAAGTCGGAGGACTTCATTATATTTATTCTGAGAATTACATGCCAGATTTAAAGATTAAGCAAGCAGTTGCAAAAATAATTTTTCTGTAGTTGCATTACCTAATCTGTCATGTTTTAGTTTCTGAACTGTCTTGCACTCTCTAGTTCAGACACGTGCGATGGATTTGTAGTGATTTGGTCAAGTCGAATGGGAATTCATTACCCTGCTGCCAACACATCTGTTGGAATAAGGCCTTTAGTTTTCCTTAATGTTTGAAGCACAGGTGCTGCTAGAGTGCTGTATTCTAGACTTGAAAAGATAAGAGTTCTCATGTTCACAGGGACTAACAGATTGCACAGTCTTGATCATACATACACAGAATACACAGTCAAGACCCTAAAAATGTCCTTAAAAGGATGCTTTGTTCAGGGCACATTTAGGAAATATTGAAGGAGTTCTGTAGGCTTTTATGAGTACTAATTCCGGTATTTGAAGACCAGGTCTGCTTAGTTTTATTGGTGGTCTTAAATACCATTGAGAGCGTCTTGTAGTGAGTATAATAACTAAATGTTTTGAATTGGTCTTTCTTTTGAATGCCTTGCCATTAGGAACATTTGCTTATCAGCTGGTCCCAATATTTGTATATCTTTTGCATTTTGCTCTGGAACCATTTCTTTCCTCGTGGACAGATGCCATCTTTTACAGGTGTGTGAAACTGCTTTCTATTCCGTACATGGGCTCTGTACATTTTGTATTTTAAACTGCTGCAAGTTATTGATGGTTACATTTTATTACATTTACATTTATTACAGTTTATTATCACTGCTTGATATGCAACACAAACTGTAACCAAGCATTTGTTTTTAATATCTGCTATTTCCAGTCTATTCAAGTATGCTGTAGAGAGGCATCTTTAGTTGAATAAATCTATAAATGCTTACATTGTGAAACATCTATGCCAGATTTTGTGAAGTAGCCTAGTGCTGTCAAGGTTTCTTTTTCAGTATGTACTCCGAGAATTTAACACTGCACTATAACATGTATGCTTTAAGTGGACATGATGAATGACTCAGTCATCTGAATCTGAGCAATGGGCTGGGTGACCATACTTCGTCAAGAAGGTGGTTTTGTATTTGGTTGATGAATGAAGACTAACATATTAAACTGATTACAGCATCCTTCTGAACAATTGTTTGTCAGTATTTGATTTACGCAGGAGCTTATGAATGTATGTATTTACTTAAGGATGTTTGTCTTTTCTTCTAGTGTGCTTCCTTTTTTTAAATTGCAATTAGATTATTTCTTAGCCTTGCTAGCAAACTACTGATAGCTTCTTGAAGGCTGATATCACCTTGCACATGCATATTTTGTCAAAAGAACACTGGGTTTATTTCACAGAGAGTATATGATGATGTGATGATAATTGAGAGCACCTGATTGTGTGAATGTTGCACGATGCTGAATGAAATTCAGTGCTGAGTCAGACCTGAGGTATATCTTCTCCCTCCTCTTTTGCAAACAACCATACCTGTATTTGTTCTGCAAATAAACTCATTCACTAACTTGATAAATTAGGTAAACCGATGTGAAGTGTGAAAAGGTTACGTGTCTAAAACAGACAGTTTCACATTCCACTCTGGACTCCTAATGACTTTAATGGATGAACTGTTCATATAACTGAAGGGTTTTCAATCCTGGTGCTGGGGACCCACACACCTGCTGTTTTTACCACCTGAACCCTTAACAGTTAGATGTTAACCATTTAAATGGCTGCCTTTGTTTTCAGTTCCAATTACCAGGAGTGAATGTAAATGCTTTAGGTCATCATTATGAAAATAAGTTAAAATTTGCCAACGACAATGACAGTATACATTCATTTCTTTACAGGTGTTATTAGTCTTTACTAATTGCAAAACTAGTCATATTAAGTAGAAATATTAAACAATGGCATATTATATTAAATAAAAGCAGTAAAAAAAAAACTAATACAAGTGTGCTGGCATTCTGACCCCCTGTAACCCTTGTTGTATGAAGGGATTAGAATGTGGATGGAAATTAGGAAACATTCCATCTTTCAAAAATAATGGTGTTAAATTCTAAAGATGTTCCTATCTACATCTAATGAATTTACACAACTATTCTTCATAGATTTGAAAATAAAAGGCATTTCCTGTACATAACAGTTCATCTTTTATAAAAAAAAATACTATTGATACAATTTAATAATTAAATGAGGAAAATTAAAGTGTACTTTAACTATCATATGCCATATAGCAATTCTGCTTTTCCAATATTATATTATTATATTCCAATAATATAATATTGTTGAAGAAAACTAATTCAAATTAAGCATTACCTTAAGCTGCTTTGCATTTCGGTAATAAAACGGTTAACCCATGCAGTGGACATGAGAATTTCACTAGAGAAAATTGATGTAAACATTGCCCAGGTCCTTGAGACTGTTTTTCTTCTTACAGCAACGTTCCAGCATCTCACGGGTGGAGAGAAATTCATCTGTATTTAGAAAGAAATCCTTAACCATCACATCCCCCGGAGGGGAATTTTTATTCCTGCTATTCTTAACACTGTCCAGCAGAGCTCCTCTAATGTCCTTTGGTTTCCCTGGCACTCCAAATACTATAAACATCCCCACGCAGTCCCTACCCACCAGCGAACAGAACTCCTCCAGCTTTTCGTAGTTGCTCTTATTTGTGTACAGAGCGTCTGCCAGTGTGATCTCTTTTATATTCCCATAGCACTTCTCTGGGTCCCGCATCTGGCTTCTCAGTGCTTGATCAGACATCTGTGACGTCTGGACCGGGAACTGGATCTTCACATTCTTGTCCGGCCCAAGAATGGTCCAGATCCAGTCCACACCAAAGAGCAGACGCTGTTGCTTGGTCATCGTGCTGGTGGTGATGTGCTCCTCCACGCCCTTCTCCGCGCAGTACGAGATGAAGCTGACGAGGAAGATCTCGTTCAGCGTGTCCGTGCTGGGCTGCAGCCTGTTCTGCGGGTCCTCGAACCCGAGGTACTCCTTCAGCTTCTGGGAAGCATGAACGATGCCCTGGCAAAAAACATCCCCCAGAATGTCAGGCTTGGAGTCTGGAGCAGGCTCCTGCGACTTTGTCTGCCCCATGTATGAAATCGATCACGCTGCAACTGCAGTTAAATCAGCACAGCTCCTTCTTCCTCTGCATCTCCATTCCCTTGCATGAGCCAGGAAAAGTGTTTTCCGAGTTGTTCTGGGAAGAAAAATGAGCACAATGAATTATGCTGTGCAGACCTTCAGCTAATGAGCAGTGAAACCCGATTCCTCACCTTTAAGCTGTAGGGTGGAGCCTGTGGTTCCTGCTGGCTAAAGTCTACCTTCACAGTCTGGCAGGGAATGTATGAGCAAAGGAGAGTTTCAATTTTTTTACCTAAGAATATGATGAAGACATTAGCAAATTAAATGCCCAAAGGAATTTACTGGTTCACATACGCTACAATGTTGTGCACTCATTTATATAGGTGGGTGAGCAGGGGCACTCTCACTAATGCATCTTAATACAGCAATAATATTCCTGTCAGGCATTTCAAACTACCAGACAATTAATTTTTAAAAGGGGTTTGAATCTTGAGTTTTTCCTCCTCCACTTACTGTCCTTGACCATTTCAGTTAAGATTCTGCTTGCATTCAAACTTGACACTTCATTTCTAATTGCATCCCATCTTGTTCCTTCAGAAGCATTCTATATCCACTACAACGCATCCGTATGTTCAAATACATTTGTGAGGAAAAAAGATAAGGTTCCGTATTCTCTTTGTGAATCCGAGGTGGAGGATGTGACCATTTTAAAAGAATATTAATTTGAATATTCAAATGTCCTGCATCTAGAGCTCATGTTCATAACGTTGAGAAAGTCTTTATCATCTGTGAAGGGGTAATTTTTGGATCTCTTGCAATCTATTACCGCATGTTTTTGTCTTTTCCAGACTTGATGCAGTTTGCTGGATGCAAACACTAAATTGCAGTATGTTCATACCTTAGCAGTTCAGATTTTAATCAAAACTATGCTTCTGCATTTTAGATTTGTTTTAGCTTCCTTGCACTGGTTTTCTGCTGATCCCAGAACTTCAAAATGCTTCTGCTCATCTTTAAGGCTTTGAGCACTGACTCCCGACTTAAAGGGAAACTGACATCTCAATATCTCAGTTTTTCTCAGTCTCGCTAACAAAATAAATGGATTGATGGTATAGCAAAAATGTACACATTTCAAAATTAAAAACAAAAAACGAACTTTTTGAAAGAACTAAGTCGTCATGTTGCAAACACCTGGGTCTCTCCACAGGCAAGAGTGGGAGTTCTCACAAACTGACATGAAGCAGCCCTTCCTGCTCAGTAGTCATTGTAATGACCAGTGTGCAGCAGGCATTTCACCGCAGAAATGTTCCAACACGATCTGCATGCCGAGTTAACAAGTAGGTGGGTTTTAGGCCGACACATACTTATTGAGAGCAGTATTTCTATTTAATTTAGAGACATATTCGCAGAACACAGCTCTGCACATACCTGGAAATGGTCTATTTTGTGATGTACAGTAATTTGGAGGTTTTACAAGTTACTTTGTGCATCTCCCTTTGATTGTGGTTTGACATGTACTCAATGCTGATTCTAACTTCCAGAATATAGAAATAGCACTGCATTTCCCCTTTAACTCACTTCACACCTGCCTGCTGTTGATGCTCCTTGTACTTGGACCTTCTTTCAGATCCTTTCAGCTAAGGATCATCCCAGCCTTGAAGCAGCAGGATGAAAAGCACTGAGTCTTCATGGCTATAGGATAACTTACAGCTCTTATCAGCTCTTGCAAAACGGCACTTTAAAAGTTAGAACTAGCTCATAATTTACCCTATTTGTGGATACTTGTCTCTCATGACTATTGTAAATGCCTTGAAGAGACACACAATGAAAGGCGATATATAAAAATCTTAAATTCATGAAGAAATAATGGAAGGATAAAAGTATCTCCCCTTCCAATGAGAATGTAATCATGCACAAGTGTACTACAGCTGCATGTTTCAAACCAAAAGAGTTTATTGATTTATTAAAAATGAATAAAGTATTAACAATACACAAAGATTTGACCAATGTCATGGTTAGCAGGGGGTGGTTAATATCTTCAGCTTTGTAATATACTTATTGCTTTTGTTTTTTACAAACAATGAAAGACAAAACCTGAATACAGGCATGGTTTTACAGATGCACTGCAGAATCCATTACACAGGCTTGACAGTATAAGAACACACCAAGCCCATCGCTCTGCCATTGAATACAAGTGTCTGGAGTTGAGCAGGTCTGTGTTACTGTAACAACTTAAAGCTCAAGGGCACAATCAGTGTAAGGACCTCCTCACATTTAAGGAACATCAGTGTCTCTTGCCTCCTTCCCATCCCTGAAGGAAAATAAAAATGATCTAGATGCAACATCTTAGTATGACAGAGGTTCAGTCTTTCCCAGCAGATCTCTATACAAAAGCCATGTCTAAAAGAAAAGTATAAATAACATGCAAATAGTACTAAAATATCCAGGGAAAATATATATGTCCAATTGTTACTGTAGATCTAACAGTATTTTGCTAAAAGGGCAAAGCTAAATAAACAGAGGTGTGCATAGGTCAGATTTCACATCATTAGACGACAAAAGCTAAAAATCAGTCCTGAAATTCTGCACCACTTTTTCCGAGTACACACAAAATGAGATTGTTTATCTACATAAAGTTTTTTTTGAAGACATTGCAGACAAACTGCTGAGTGCAAACAGCGAGTGGCATTTCCAAACCGGGCAGCGCTGTGCTTAAGGGCCTTAGCAACTGATTTGGCATCAGCAGTGTTTCGATTTGGCACAGGTCAGATTGTCTGAGTCAGTTATTTAGATAGGACTTGAATATATTTCACTTAAACAGTTCAACGCTGGAGTTGCACAATCTGATCATTTTGTCATACTGTAGATCTGACAGAACACATACATGGCTTCATATTACAATTGCAGGGCAAGAACTGAAAACAGGTGTGAAAACAGGGGCTGGATAAAACCAGAAACAACATTAATCAGTTAAAAGAATTTTTGTATGCATGATTTGTCATTTAAAATATTAACCATGTGCCATGCTGAAAGATAACAAGTATAACTTTAGTTTTTAAAAACAGACAAAAAAAGGTAATGTTGCTCTTCACATGACAGCTATAAAAAAATCCAACAGTATAAAAGTCCATCTTCTCCAGTAACCAGCTGGCAAGTAAATGTGGATCTTTCTAAAAATGCAGTATAATCATCAAATATCACAATCTTACAATGAGCATACAAGTCCTTTCAAACTTTAAATGCATAGGTGATGCAGTTATATGAAGTGCCAGCTGTTTTGAAAAGGAGTTATGAATTGTGAACATCTCTATTCACACTCCTTGCTATTTATGATGCACTTGTGAAGTATCTATCAACACATCTGGCAACATCTTGCATTAGGGTTTTGAGATTTAACATAAGGCAGTGACAGCCTATATTTGTTATTCAATTTCTCAACTGTAATACATTAAAAGATACATAAGCCTGGCACTGAGTGTGTAAGTGATGTCAAGGGGATACTGCAACAGCACATTGATATGCATGATTGGCACACAGTGAAATTCACAGCCACGTCTGAAGATGACCGTTATCACACATTGGAGTCTTCATCTGTAATGCTGGCACTTGGAGAGCAGGTGGAAAGTTCTTTGAAGAATTCATCTTCTTTCAGCATGCTCTACAGATTGATGAAAACAGAATAACTGTTAAAGATACAGTGTGGAGTCTTCCTTAAACCATTTATATGAGCTGGGGAAATAACACATTGGGTAACACCACAAAGTGAAAATAAAATGTTTTGCTCACGTAAGGAGGAGTCAGGTTTGTTCTAGTTTTTTATGTAAGACCAGTACACCTGGGGTAATGGGGGGGTTTAAATATAATTTTCTATTTTGCGATGGTATTGTTTTGTTGTTTAAGACTTAAGTATTTGCTTTAAAGAGAAACTGTACACTTTTTTTATAGGTGGCTGTCAGGAGTCAGAGACGAATACTGAACTCTGTTAGATCAACGTGTTAAGTCGTTAGGCTAAAGCTGTTTGTTGTGAGTTAAGTGTCATGTTATGTCATGTTTAAATGTGTTATAGAACGTGTAAAGGTTTTAAAAGAGAATAAGATGGAGGAGGCAGGTAGTTAGATCCCCAACTGTGGTACCCCTGTCTTGGGAATAACTGTGGAACCCCTCCCATGGCCTTTTCTATTTTCTACTTTAAAAATAAACTTGTAAATAAAGGCTTAGCGACTCATGACGTAGACCCCAACAGGAAGTCCCTCCCCCCCATGGGTTTATGGGAATTGTAGTTCCTAAAGCCAATGCAAAGTAATCTAGTAGTTGCTGCCTGCTATGGGAGTATTAAGACAGGGTTACAGACTACTGCCTTGTTGTGAAGCAAAACAACAACATTAAAATAAAGCCAAAATATAAAACATTTGAACAAAGATCTTTTGGGAGGTCCTGTCAATTTAAAGTGCATTAAATATACATTTATACGCATTTGGCACATCAGTTTAAGTAAAGAATTAAAAGCACTTCTTACAGTCAAGTTGTTGATGCCCTCAGAAAATGCTCCAATTTGCCTTACGGTTCCTTCAGAGTCCTCCATCTAAAGGTAAAATCAATCTCTTAAACAGTTTCCTTTGTCAAGTCAGCAATCGATTTTAGACTTCCAAATACTCCTGCACGTCAGGTGCCTGTCATCTGTTCTCTGCACCCGTGAACACGATATGACCATCAAAATCCAAACTGAATTTGAATGTTTTTTAATTAGAATGGGAATTGATTGTTTCCATTTCTGAAACAGATTATGTAGCATATTAATCCTATTGCTTGACTTAAGAGTAATACTACACATACATGTCACTTAATTATGTAAATTCTCCATCCTCAAAGAATAAAACAGAAATGTTAACCCCCCCTACTTTAAAACATGTAGGAAAAACGCCCTGTGAAACACCGTTACCTGCTCCAGGCGGTCAAGGTCGTCATCATACAGTCTCATGTCCATGCCTCGTTTGTATCCTTTCTGGAAACTGATTCCTCTGGGCATCGCCACATCCATGGGGCACACGTACTCCTCCGAATCCTCCGGCCTCTTTCTCCGCAGGCTCCCGAAACTCCCGAACGCCAGCTTCCTGGGCTGAGGTGCACATGCAAAACACACAACCCAGGCTGTAGTGCACGGGGGGGGGGGCAACTGGGCTGCCCTGCCCCCAGGAGCCGGAGTTCCACCCGTGCGCCAGGGACCAAACTCCTCTCCTTTTAAAGCACAAGAACTTAAGAGCTTTACAAATACGGAAAGGGTGTCAAAAAAAGTGCGACATTCCACAAACCTTAACTTTCGCGGTGGCGGTGAGAACGACGTAGTCGGGCGACTCCATCGCCTCCTGCTTCTGCTGCTGCGCCTCGGAGCCTATGAGCAAGTTGAAGTGCGTGGCCAAGTGCCGTCTCAGCAGAGTCTTGTTTGGGGGGATATTCAGCAGCAGCGCCATCGTTTCCACGTTGAACCGGGGCTCCAGCACCTTGAAGATCGGAGACATGGCTCAGTGCTTTGCTGTGGAAGGCGAGCAGGTGCTTCTCAAGGACATTTGCGAAAAATGCTTTGAGACATCCTACTGTTGGATTATACTGTAGTGGATTAGCTCCCACTGAAATACAATTTTAAGAGTTAGAGATATTTCTCTAGCTGGTAGAAAAATGGATATGAAAATAAATGCCAGACTACAAATTGACAAATTGCATGAAGCTTATCTTGCATTTAAAAGACATCCATCATTGACAGGTTTGATCACAAGAGCACAAAAAGGTTACAAGGAAGAGGATAGCTTTTCAGCCCATCTAGTCCCTTTGGAAGTAGTTATCCAACTTGTCTAACGTCTCATCCAGCTGTTTCTTCAAGTGGATACGCTGGCTTAGCCCTCTGGACAGCCCACACCAATTTCCCTTCGGGATTAATAAAGTATTATCTATCTATCTAAAGAAGTACCTCCGGTTAGCAGTTTCAAACGCGCTTCCAGAGCTTCCACTTCTGCGCTCTGGTTCGACAAGCTATGCGACAGGGGGCGCTACAGGAGGTCATTCTTGCCGTCTGCCATAAGACTGTACAACGCATCCACCTTGCGTCTGGGCAGAGGCAACATCGACAGTGACCTGTTTCTGGACTCAACGCATCTACACATCTACTGCTACATCTGTTCTCTTTCTTTTTCCCCGTTTACAACCATTTTTTGTGCAGTATATGCCAGGGACCTGTGCAACACATTTATATTTATATCTATATTTACAACTATATTTATATTCATATGTGTGAAACGATTTTTCTGTGTACTGTTCTGTTCTAGTTTCCGGACTGTGAGTAACTCTTGTATTGTATTGTATGTATTGTACTATTATTATATAATTCGTTACACTGTGGCTGTGTTGTGTGTGTGTTAAGCTGCTGTTGCACTGCAATTTCCCTCACGGGATCAATAAAGTATCTATCTATCTAGCCACGCTGTTGAAGCCGATATCAAAAGGGCTGAGGGAGCTAAATTGGCGACTAACCACCGATCCAGCCGGGTGAGCAGGACGGCCTCCTCTTGTCTGCAACCTTGACGATGTTCACATAATCAAGTAGCGCACAGCTCACCATTAAGCCCCCGTGCACACCACTTCCTCTGAGGTTGGGTGCATACTCGGCCAGGTCCACGGAGCGCAGCCACTCCATCACCCTGTGATTCGTCCACTGCGACACCTCGGCAGGGGTGACGTTGTTCTGAAGGAAACGCCAAGTGTGATACGCTGTCAAAGCTGCATTCCTGTGTGAGAATTCCCCATACCATCCTACCACTGAAAATCCCACGTAAAAAATGCCTGGGTAACACTATTCACCTCTACGTGAAAAGTTAATTTCCAAAACAAGAAAATGTAATACATCATAACATACCATTTGAGTTTAAGGGTCAAATATTTGGTCTAAAAATGTTCTACCCTAGTATGCAGAAAACAAAACAAGGAAGTTGACAGGAGCAGTCAAAAACACATAATGAAAGTCTAAAAGTTCATTCAATGATTACAATATTACTGAATCAATCTAAAAAGGAATTTTGTTTCTCATACTAAGTGTAGCCCCATTTACGTTTGCACTGATTACCTCTTATCATGATCTAAGGCCATAAAAGAGAGGACCTTTCGTCTGCACCTTGTAGGTGTGGCAATATTGCATTAGCAGGGACTTAAGAAGGATCTAAAGATGATTTGTAGTGAACATATTTCTGGGGAATCCTACCTCATCTGAAGGCCTTCTGCGCAGACAGTTGGGTTCGTAGTTGTTAATACGGAGGACCTGAATGGCTCTTTTGATACTGAGATGATGAAGAACACTTCCAACTTTCAGTGACAGCAGATCATCCTGTTAAGTGAGAGACACGGGGATATACAGTATTAATCCGCAGCACAGCTGTGAAAGCGAGCTCAGTGTTTATCATCTACTGAAGTAAACAGTCAATTAGCCATTGCTATTCACACCCATGTTTGTGAAAGGAAGCAGAATGCAGTCATGGCTATAACTTAAACAGCTTAAACAAAAATGGCCAATCATCTCTGGGCTTTACGTAAGGCAACACTATTTGCACTTCATATACACAGATAAAAGTAGCCCTTTTTATTGTACAAGAGAATTTAATCACTTAAAAAGAGCTGACTGTTCATAAACCAGTGAACACTGTTAGTACTGTACTACTTAATTCGAGTTTACAGATGTTAGTTTTTCCCTTAGCTTGATATTAGAAGCAGTCTTTTCAAATTAAAAACTGTGCACAGCGCTCGTGCAAATGCACTTACAACAGTCATATAATGAAGCATTCTTCCATCAACCCTGCCTTCATCAAACTGGGTCTTGTACTGTGGCAGCCCAATGTCATCCAGCCATCCTAAGAAAGAGATTGAACTCACTCACTGGTCTGGCAGGCACAAAACATCACAATTTCCTCTTCTCATTATAAATGGAGGGTAAATCAGTGATAAATTGCTCCTTTACAAGATCTTTTTTAGAGAAGCACGTGAGTAAATTCAGAAGCTGCCCTTCCTGAAGAGAACTTGTTTAGCCACTACAACCTGGTTACTTTTATTCTCCTGAATAAAAGGGGAAAGGGGACCATTCCTAAAATGTGGAATACAAGACAGTCATAAAAGTCTCTACAGAAATTGTAGTCTTGACTGCAAACATGTACAACTCAAAAATGTTATGATAATGAAAAAGAAAATTCAATCTGGATTCAAAGCGGGGTGCTTTTTAATGCTGTAACTCACTGGTGACCCAGTTGTAGTCGAGTTTTCCTTTGTTGTCGTCTTCCTCGGAGCCCAGAGCCTGCAAGGCCAGCTGCAACTTCTTCCTGTGGAGAGGGTGCTTAATTCCCAGCTCCTAGAGAAAGAAAGTGTCTCAGGGATGCTACAGAGGTACATCCAACCCAGTTACCCACTTGGTCTCAAAAAATAAACTAAACGTTACCACCATACACCACCTGATCAAGTAAGGCTATGACACAAGCTACCCATCCACATTGTTGAAGCTGGTGCCACGTGGTTTTTCAAGAAACAGCTGGCTGAGAACTTCATACAAATTCACTTCTAAAAATCAAATCTAGTCGGTCCAAATGGCCTCGGGTGGTCTGCCAACAAGGTTAAGGTATTCTGCAGCTTTTCACTGCAAGCCACATTCCAGCCGAGCCCGAAGATGGCGGACAAGAAGATCTCTGCGCGCGCATGGCTCACCCTCTCCAGGTCCTGCTGAGAGGCCTGCAGCAGAGTCTGCCCCGACAGGATCCACTGCTTGGCCGAGCCGACGTGCAAGCCCAGGCCCTGCTCCTGCAGCCAGTTACACACCTGCTCCTTCGTCCACTTGGCGAAGGGCGCGTCGAGCTCACTGCAAACACACACGGGACTCTAGCTGAAGGGACTGGCTGTTCCCCAGCAAGAATGTCGACCGCTTCCCCCAACACAGCTCATGCAGCGTAGGCTTCACAACGTCTCCTGGCAGTTGCCCCATTTTCTAAAGCCAGTGACATCTTGACGTCTTTCAAAACAGGGTCGGTTCCAGCCAGCAGGGATGCGCGCAGTGGGCGAGAAAGCTCCCTCGTTGAAAAGGGTGCGAGATCAGTGACATGCACGAGATCCGCAGTACAAAGACCCACTGTGCTCAGAATCCAGTCGCTGCGCGATCACTCCACTGCTTTAGCTATGCTTCCCTTTGAGAGCTCACTCAATCTCAGCACAGCCATTCAGACAGCCGTTGGGTCTTGCGACTTTAAAATAACTCGCACGTGACTGTTTCACGAAAATGCTAATTTTAAGCCAGTCTGCTTGAAACAGAGATCTTTTAAATGATTTAAATACACCGAGATGGACCAGTTATTTCCTTTGAGGTCTTCGTTTTTCTTTTGAATTCTGCGTTCAAAAATACATTTGCGGACCCTCCAAAACATTGTAAATTGCTGACTATTACTGTCAGTATTAAACTTTCATTCATTCAGCTTAATTCTAAAGTGTGCCACACTCATTTGACAACTCCCTTTAAAAAGGCAACTTCTATACTGTATGGCACGACTTATATCCTCAATAGTCATTGCCCTTTATTGCTCCGTGGGTCACTGCAGCTGTGTTAGGTGTGGGGCTAATATAACCATCCCACTGAATGCTCTTGATGTACCAGTAAGCTGCTGAGAATTCTGTGGTTAAGCTCGCCACAGGACTCAAAGTTAATGGGTGCGTGGTGGGTGACAGTGTCGAAACGTAGCAAAAACACTTATGGAAGAACTCACTGGCACAAGCGGACATTGCACCCGGTCTCTCTCTGTCGCACTGGAGGAACCTGCGCCACCACGCTCCGCACTCACCTGCTCGCATTCTGCAGGTCCCGAGACCAGCCCAGCCGGGGCCCCGCCGTGGCCCTCACCCCGCCTCTCTTAAACTCCGGCTCCGACATGTCATCAGGGTTAAATGTGGTGGACTGGCTCCTCTTCAGCCTGAAAAAAAAAAA